AGGTAGCGATTTTCAAAGTAACACAGCCGCTTCAGCAGAGAATCCCCCAATTACACCACCGATTACTCCGATTACACCACCGCCGGTGAGTACATTCCAAACTAATCGTTTACCTAAACTTGTACTGCCATCGTTTAATGGGAACCCGCTTGAATGGCAATCGTTTTGGGACGCCTTTCAGTCTGCAGTACACGATAACTCTTCGATCAGTGATGTCCAAAGGTTCAATTATTTGAGAGCACAGTTACGCGACGGAGCTGAAAGAGTCATTGCCGGGTTGCCATTAACCAGTGCCAATTACGCTAAGAGCATCCAGTTATTGAAAGATAGATTCGCTCAACCCCACAAGATTATCAATGCACACATGGAGGCACTGCTCAACCTTCCATCACCCACTGATCATTTAAGTAGTTTGAGGCTTTTCTATGACTCAGTTGAAACACACATCAGGGGACTTGAGTCACTAGGGAAGAAAACAGAAACGTATGGAGATATTCTTGTTCCCATCATTCAGAAGAAGTTACCTAATGGAATTAAGAGGAATCTAGCAAGGCAAAATGGAAACAAGGAGTGGCAGCTTGACAACTTACGTAAGGCAATCTTGAACGAAATTGAAATCTTAGAAGCAGGTCAGAACAGTTCTAGCGATTATGAACTCAGTAGCAACTCAACAACTGCTGCTACTGCTGCATTTCTCACGACTTCAAAGCCACCTACACCTGTTCTCCCTCCTCCCACTGATCGGCGCCCTACCAAGCGAACATGCCTTTTCTGTAAGGGCGAACACAGTTCAAATGATTGTAATGTTGTAACAGACAAGGGAAGGAGATACTCCATTGTACGTGATGCAAGGGTATGCTTTAACTGTCTTAATCGTCATTCAGTATCTAAATGCAAGTCACGGAACAGATGTAAGGTGTGCCATCGAAAGCATCATACCAGTCTTTGCCAAAATGCAGAATCAACTCCCCTAGTGTCATCCACTGAACCGCCAACTACAAACAAGGCTCAATGTACACCCACCACAGACAAGACTACAGCACCTTCAGTCTCATCCTACCACATTGGTGATACTAGCAGACACACCCCGTTCTACTGAAAACAGCCGTTGCTTCTGTTGGTAGTCACAACAACCACATCAGTGCACACATTTTATTTGATGAAGGGTCTCAACGCTCCTTCATTACTTCAGATGTAGCGACCAAACTTGATCTGAAACCAGAAATGCAAGAGACCATATCCCTGTCAACCTTTGGTGGGAACACATCATCCGTTAAACGCATTGACACTGCCACCGTTTTTGTTGAAACCGCTCAAGAGGAGAACATTCCCATTCGCGTGATCATTGTACCAACAATAGCTGCCCCCCTCACTACTTACACTGGTGCCAATGTAAGGAACTACCACACTTAAAGGGACTGTCATTAGCACAAAACGTTGATGATTCACCTTTCACAGTTGATATTCTAATCGGTGCAGATCATTATTGGGACATAGTGGAAAACGAAGTTGTCAAGGGTCCAGGTCCCACAGCAGCCAAATCAAAGATAGGATACCTCCTTTCGGGCCCCCTCCAACAGTAACCATTCAGAGAACCTAAACACGTCTATTTTAAATGTTGTGACTGAGCATCATCAAGAACAATTTGATTTGGAACGTTTCTGGCGGATTGAATCAGTTGGTGTTCAGCCAAGCTCATCAGAAGAAACGGTTGACTTTCTGAAGTACTATCAAAACTCGTCTATCATGTTGGAGGATGGCCGGTACAGTGCAAAGCTACCCTGGCGACCAGAACATCCCCTCTACCATCAAATGCAGAAATCACTAAGCAGAGAACCCGCTCCATGGTCAGAAAACTAGCTGAAGATCCTAATAAATTACGCATGTACAATGACATCATCCAAGAACAACAATCTCGCGATTTTATCGAAAGAGTGGACAATCCAGAAACAACCAACGGAGTGTGTCATTACATACCTCATCACGCTGTTCTCAAGGACTCTACCACAACTCCTCTACGCATTGTGTACGACTGCAGCTTCAAACGAGGTGAACAACCCAGCTTGAATGATTGCTTACAGCCAGGTCCTCCACTTCTCAATGATCTTACTGGTATACTTCTACGCTTCCGTCTCCACCAGTATGCTATAACTGCAGACATTGAAAAGGCATTTTACATGTAAACCTAGACCAAGCTGATCGAGATGCCACGCGCTTCTACTGGCTATCTAACACGGATGACCCGGAGAGTGAATTCATTGTCTACCGATTCAAGTCTGTCATGTTTGGTGCCACAAGTTCCCCTTTCATCTTAAATGCCACTCTCAATAAGCACCTCACACAGTCTACAGACCAAGTCAGCATGGATATGTTAAGGAATCTGTATGTGGATGATCTCGCCTCGGGAACAAACGATGATGATTCAGCAGTCAACTATTACCAAGATGCCAGGAACAAAATGTCACCGGTGGGCTTCAATCTCAGGTCATGGAGTTCAAACAGTCCTGGTGTTCAACATATTGCAGCCAAAAATCAAATCCTCGACACTAGTCCAACTAAAAAAGTACTTGGCATGGTATGGGACATAACTTCAGACACGCTACGATTCTCATGTAAACAGGCAACCTCTACCCCCCCGTTGTCAACCAAGAGAGAGGTGTTACAAGAAACAGCAAAAGTCTTTGATCCACTCGGCTTACTTCAACCAGTCACCGTTGCGGCTAAGATTCTAATACAAGAACTGTGGAAGGAAGGGATTGATTGGGACGAGCCCCTTCCACCTTCTCTTGATCAAAAATGGCGTGCTGTAGCAAAGGAGATTGGAGATGCAACCAAACTTGAGTTCCCACGTCGCTACTTCTCTTCTAATGTCTCTGTCGATAGCAGCGATACAGAACTACATGTTTTCGCTGATGCAAGCCAGAAAGCCTATGGAGCTGCTGCTTACTTAGTACGTGGAAACCAGTCATCGTTAGCTATGGCGAAGTCGCGTGTTGCTCCGACAAGGAAGAAACTCACCCTTCCAGAATTGGAACTTATGGCAACTCTAACAGCCGCACGTTTAGCTTCATATCTTCAAGAACAACTGCCAGTTACAAGAGTCACATTGTGGTCTGACAGCCAAATTGTTCTCCACTGGCTCAAAAGCACCAAGTTGTTGAAGCCATTCGTCAACACTCGCATCCAAGAAGTAAAGAAGCTGACATCAACTTCAAACTGGAAGTACTGCCCTACAACTGAAAACCCCTCCGATCTTCTCACAAGAGGGATAACAGCACATCAACTAGAGATTTCCTTGCTGTGGAAACATGGTCCCACATGGTTACCAAACAGATCCCAGTGGCCTTCATGGCCTACGACAGAGGTTCTTCACTTATCAGCAACTGAAACCTCTCCTGGTGGGTCTACCACAGACGGCACAGTCCCAGTTCAACAGCAAGGCCTTCATCGCCTGATCAATCCATCGGATTTCAGCAGTTTACCAAAGCTTCTACGTGTTACAGCCTATGTTTTCAGATTTGTAAAACTTCTCCAGAAGAAACTTAGTCAACAAGGCCCAATTACAGCCATGGAATATGATCATGCCATGACAGAATGGGTGAAGAATCGTCAATCTGTTGTCTTTCATGCTGAAGTTAACAACCTCCTCTCGAAGTCGCGACACCGTACAACTTTGGTACGTCAACTTCGCCTTTTCCTTGATGATGGTGGTCTTCTACGCTGTGGCGGAAGGATACACAACGCACCCTTAAGTGGCAACACCAAGTTTCCTCTGCTACTTCCAAGCAAAGACCATTTCACAGATCTTGTAATTCACTCCACCCATGTCAAACAGCTTCATGCAGGTGTCAACTCAACACTCACCGCCCTACGTCAAACTTATTGGGTTCCTTCTGGCCGACAACGCGTCAAAACTTTAATTGACAAATGCGTAACCTGCAGAAAGGTCTCAGGAACAGCCTACAATGCACCAGACCCACCACCCCTTCCCAAGTCAAGAATACAACAAACACAACCCTTTGAAGTCACTGGGGTGGACTACACCGGAGCTCTGTATGTTCGAAATGCTGGAATCGAAACAAAGGTCTACATATGTCTGTTTACTTGTGCAACAACCAGGGCTATTCATCTTGAAGTTGTCGAAGACTTGACCGTTGAAGCCTTCTTACTAGCCTTTCGCAGATTTGCAAGTCGGAAATCTCTTCCAAGGAAACTAATATCTGACAATGCCTCAACATTTGTATCAGCGAACAATGAACTAAAGGAATTGTTTCAATCTCGTGCGCTCAAGGAAACACTAGCAAGGGAAGGCATTGAATGGCTATTCATCCCCAAGAAGGCGCCTTGGTACGGCGGGTTTTGGGAACGCCTCATCGGTCTCACCAAATCCACCATCAAGAAGGTACTCGGCAGAGCTGCAGTCAACCTGTGCACTCTTCAGACAATTGTTGTTGAAGTAGAGGCAATTCTAAACGATCGTCCCCTAACCTACGTTTCCTCAGACATTAAGGATGAGGAAGCATTAACCCCTGCACATCTACTTTATGGCCGACGAATTACGTCATTACCACATCCACCAGTAGAAAGTGACGAAGTGAGTGATCCCACCTACCAAACAAGTACAGATTTACTAAGAAGGGCAAAACGTGTCACCTTACTGATCCAACACTTTTGGCAACGATGGCGTCATGAGTACCTTACCTCCCTCCGAGAGTTCCACAAACGTTCAGGAATCAACACAGAATCCGTGAAGGCTGGTGATGTAGTTCTAATCCATGATGATAGCCCTAGAGTAAACTGGAAACTAGCACTTGTCACATCCATTAACAGAGGTCGCGATGGACTTGTGCGTTCCGCAAATTTACGCACCGCCAATGGAACAACAAACCGTCCCATAACAAGATTACACCCTCTAGAAGTTCACGCCAAGGAAGCACAGTGTTGCACAGAGGATCAAGCAACCGCAGTAGAAACTCCAACCCCTGTGAGGAGACCACAAA